GCTTTCGCGTCGAGGCAGTTGAAGCCTCATGAGATAAACTACCCCACTCACGACTTGGAGTTAGCCGCGGTGGTCCATGCCTTAAAGATTTGGCGGCACTACCTTTACGGGGGCAAGTGCGAAATCTTTACCGACCATAACAGTTTGAAGTACATTTTCACCCTGAAGGAGCTCAACATGCGGCAGCGGAGATGGTTAGAGCTCGTTAAGGACTACGACTGCACGATTAGCTACCATCCCGGGAAAGCTAACGTGGTCGCCGACGCGTTGAGTCGGAGAAGTCATAGCGGGCTGTCTAGTATGCTTGCTCAACAGGAGGCATTGTGTCGGGAGTTCGAGCGAATGGAGTTAGAGACGATGGAGTCGACCCCGTTGACTAGTGGCATGTTGACGGCACTAGTTGTGACATCGACTCTTCGTGAGAGAATAGTCGCTGAGCAACCGAACGATCGTTTTCTACGCCGGATGAGAGAGTTGATGGAGGCCGGAAAAGTTGGAGGTTTCACAATTGCATCTGACGGGGCTTTAGTCTTTCAAGGTAGACTTTGTGTCCCGAAGGTGTGGGAGCTGCGGAAGGAGATCTTGAGAGTGGCACATAGTGCCCCGTACACCGTTCATCCCGGGAGTACGAAGGTGTACCAGGACTTGAAGAAGACCTTCTGGTGGAGAGGTATGAAGCGGCAAGTGGCGAGATTTGTTCAGAATTGTTTGGTGTGTCAGCGAGTGAAGGCTGAACACCAACGGCCATCCGGTTTGCTTCGTCCGCTGGATATTCCACAGTGGAAGTGGGAGAAGATCACAATGGATTTTGTAGTTGGCTTACCGAGGTCGTGGTCCGGGAAGGATGCTATTTGGGTGATTGTGGACCGACTGACTAAGTCGGCACACTTTTTGCCTGTGACCATGACGATGACTATGGAGCAGTACTCGAAGCTGTACATTGATGAGATCATTCGACTCCACGGTGTGCCTGTGGAGATTGTATCCGACCGAGACCCCCGTTTTACCGGGGAGTTTTGGAAGAGTTTGCACCATGCCATGGGGACGAACTTGTTGCATAGTACCGCTTTCCACCCCGAGACCGACGGGCAGTCCGAGCGCATCATCGGGTATCTGGAGGATATGTTGAGGCTAGTGATTCTCGATAGGGGTGTGACCTGGGAGGAATCGCTGAAGTTGGTCGAGTTGGCCTATAACAATAGTTATCAGGCATCGATAAGAATGGCACCATACGAGGCATTGTATGGGCGCAAGGTTAGGACTCCTTTATATTGGGATGAGGTCGGTGAGAGACGGATTCTGGGTCCGGAGATGATCCAGAAGATGGCGGCACAGGTTGAGTTGATTCGGAAGAGGATCAAGACCGCCCAAGACCGACAGAAATCCTACGCCAAGAAGCGTAGGAAGCCTTTGGAGTTTGAGGTAGGGGATCATGTCTTCTTGAAGGTCTCGCCGATGAAGGGCGTGTTTCGCTTCAGAATGAGGGGGAAACTTAAGCCTCGCTTTATCGGGCCGTTTCAGATTCTCCAGCAAGTCGGCGACTTAGCCTACCGGCTGGCTTTACCACCCAACTTGTCTGGGGTGCACGATGTATTCCATGTTTCGATGTTGCGGAGATACATGCATGACCCCGAGCATGTGGTGGACTTTGGCGAGTTGCAGGTCGATCGAGACCTTACCTATGAGGAGGTACCGATTGCCGTACTGGACCGGAAGGTTCATCAGCTGAGGAATCGGGCTATTAATCTCGTAAAGGTGCAGTGGAGCCGGCATGGCGAGGACGAGACTACATGGGAGAGGGAGGCCGATATTCGGAGGAAGTACCCGAACTTCATGTTCTAAGTGGGTTTCCCTTGTATTTTGGTTGTACCATGATTTTTTTTTTCCCTAGTTTGTTTTGTTTTTATTTCTGGGGACGGAAATCTTTTAAGGAGGATAGAATGTAACGCCCCGTTCGTTTATTTGAATATCTGGATTTTATATAATTATTTATTTGCCTATAACTGATTATTTGCCTTGGTTTATTTAATTTTCTCGTTAGTTTATATTGACTGCTCGTCTCGTTTATCTGCTTATATATTAAATTGCTATGTGATATGATTTATTTAATTATTATGTGGTTAGTTTAATTATTCATGTGTGTGAATTATTAGGATTTTTTTTTGGGTTAGATTAATTTCGGCGAACTTTCGATTCTATCGTGTAGGATCGTTTCGACCAGTTTCGAGATTTTATTCTGGATCTTAGAGTTGTTATAATCGGCCCTATTAAAAAAAAAAAAATCCAGCCTTTGAATTATAGTTGACCCAATTTACTTGTGAACACCATGGCCCAATTGATGTTAATTATGTGGCCAATTCGAATTTAATATCCAACCCATATTCCTTTAATTCCTTGGCCCATTTTCCCTCATTCATTATCTTGGCCCATTAAATGAAATCCTCAGCAGCCCACGTTCTGAAGACCGAGTCTTCTTCCCCAACGGATCAAATTTCAGTTGCGATTCTTTTGTGATTTTCCCTCGCACGTTCACAAGTTTCTCTGCATAAGACTCGGCCAAGGAGTGTCTATTCATTATCAGAACCCTTCTCCCTCAGTCCAATTCTCCATCGCAGCAGCTCTCTTTTAAATAAAATAAATATATATATATATATATATTTCTCAATCGCGTACCTCATTTCCGGCGATACACCGTTCGTCGGCGTTCGTTCCCGTAAGCAGCTTCCTGTCGTCGCCGATTCCCTCAAAAGTACAATCCACGAGCCGTTTGTCGAGCTTCAGTCCCAATTTCATTAGTTTGGTCCGCTCATTCCCCGAGCTTGTCTATTCCAGAAGAAAGGTATTCTTCGAATGAACCTTCTAGTAAATTGTTGTTCCGGTTTGATATTGATCGATTATCTCGTGTCTACCTTCATGCTCATTGGTTCGTTGGATCGTTATTCGTCAGTTTGGGTTGAATTATATTATCCCAGTTTGTATAATTGCTTTATTTCGTGATGATATTTCCGTGAAATTCTCGTGGGTATCGGAACTCTCGTCTCTACCCTCGTTTGCGATTTATCGAGTCTTGATTTGCTGTGATTAAGTCTCGTCAGCTGCTGCTAATTAAATCGTATATTGAAGCCGTCGTCCTGTTATTGGTGTTCAAATTGTTCGAGCCGTCTGTGTCGTTTTCCGCCCCTAAATCTGGTTTTATAAAAAGTTTCGAAACTCTTGATAAATGCGTTAATTTCCTAAATTTATTAGCTTCTTGAAAACCCGGTTGTCGTCGGATATGTCGTCGTGAATTTTGGTTGATTTTTTCAGATCTGTTCACATATTCGCACCCTCTGTTCCAGCTTCTGTTCAGTCGTGTACAGAAAATTTTGTTGGTGAATTTGCAGGGTTTTCGTTTGGATTTTAGTTGTCAGGCCAGTTCGGCCCAATTCGGCTTTTGACCCCTTTTATGTTCCGAAATCCCGTTTTTCGTACCGATCTTATAAAAAAAAAATATCAATTTCAAATTGAGAAAATTCCTGGATAAATTATTTTAAGCCTTGAGATCCATTTTCTTTTCCGAGTCTTTTTCTTTTCAAAATTCGAGAGTTCCAAGTCCACGAAAAATTCGATTTAAAACCCTTAAGTCTTAATTTTTATTAAGTGTGGGTTTTAAATAATTTCTGAGCAGTGAGATATATTGTTGACATATTATCTCGCTTAAATGTAGGTGTTTGAGGAGTCGAGCCCTCAACCTACTACTTGTTGATTATTATAATCTCGTCTACCTCGTCTGATCAGGTGGGTGTTGATAAACTTACCATGTATGTTAATTTTTATAAATGCTTGGTTTGATTATCCATGTATGCATGTGAACCGGTAGTCTATGAGGCCTAACTCTAGCCTTTAGAGAGCGCAGTCCTGGTGTGGGCGGCTCTAGTCCTGGTGTGGACGGCTCCAGTCCTGGGTTGGACGGCTTGTTCCTATCTTTCCTGGTGTGGGTTGATAGTATGGAGGTGTGATCACATGAGCATGGTTGTGTTTAGGGAGGTAGACTAGTCGATTTGCTTACATATTGTGACCATAATCTTAAGTCCTTATATTGATTATACTGCATGGTACTCCCACGGTGAGCTAGTTGTTTGCTCACTCCCGCTATTAACCATCTTTCAGGTTGAGCTGGTGGCCGTGGCGAAAGACAAGCGAGGCGGGGTCATTATTTGTGTTGAACTGCTATTTACTTGCTTCCGCTTGATTATTATCATTTGATTATCTCATGTTAGACTTATTATTTCTGTTCGGAAACTGAATATGCTATTTGGGATTTTTAATGCTTGTTTGGAACTTTTAGAACTGGATTGTTATTTGGATTATTGTTATAACCCTTGAGTATGGATATTTTAATTATGTTGAATTGGATTTGAGTATTTCACATAATTGAATAAATGGTGATTTTTGGCATGAGATATGTATGTTCGGGATGGTTGTTATGTGATTATTCGAGTGGCGCCCGTTAGATAAATTTTTAAACTAATTTTAGAAAAATTAACTCTGATTTTTTTTAAAAAAATAAACTGGAAATTTTCACTTAAAAATAATGGGGCGTCACATCTCTTAAGTTCAAAATTCTGGACCAGGTATCAAGTACAGAGACACTGACATATTCATCTGGTCTTAAGACCTGAGATCTTCTTTCATTAAAATTAGATCCCCATTCTGAAAAATTGTCTCATACCTGACAGCACAAAAATAAAAAAAGAACAATAAAATATAAATTTGGAATTAATAAATGCAATAAAATGTGAAAATTATATAAAATTTCTTAAGTATGAAAATATACATTGTCTCCTGATCTTCATGCAATATCCAATTATATATTTCTTCATCTCTTGAACCTGCTTTTGATATGTTCATTTGTTTTGCAACAGCTTTCTCTTTTGCTTTTTCTTTCCTTTTTGCCTTCTCCTCTTTTTTCTCTTTCTGCTTTCTTTCTTTCTCCTCCTTCTCTCTCTCTTTCAGCTCTCTCATTTTGTCTTCTCTCTCTTTCTTCTCTCTCTCTCTTGTCTATCCTTCTCATCTCTCTCTTTCTGCTCTCTTTCTTTCTGCTGTATCTCTTTCTCCTCTCTCTGTTTCTGGTCTCTTTCTTCCTCCTCTTTCCTCTTTTTCTCTTGCTTCTCCTCTCTCTCCTTCTTTTCTCTCTCATTCTCTTCCCTCCTTTTCTTTTGTCTCTCTTTCTCCTCTCTTTCCTCTCTTTCTTTCTCCTCTCTCTTTCTTTTCTCTCTTTCCTGTCTTTCTTTTCTCTCTTTTACCTCTGTTTCTTTCTGCTCTCTCTCTCTCTCTCTGTTGTTTGAGTTTCTCATCTCTCTCTTTCTTGACTTTGTCTCTTTCTTCTCTCTCTTTATCCTCTCTCAATTTCTTCTTTCTCTCAAGGTCTTCACTGTTTTTTCTCCTCTTTATTTCTTCACTCTCTTTTTGCTTTCTCTCATTCTCCTCTCTCTCTCTCATTTCTGTCTCTTTCTCCTCTCTGTCTTTATCCTGTCTTTCTTTCAGCTTTCTCTCTAACTCTTCATCTGTTTGATTCAAAAATGCAACAACATCTTCAAAAACTAGTTCTTCAGTAGATGGATGGTCTTCACCAACTGGTGCTTGGGGAAATTGCCTTGAAACATCTTCTCTCTCTATCTCTTTCTCTTTCTGCTTCTCTGTGACTTTCACTTTTTCTTTTTCAAGTGTCTCTCTCTCTTTCTTCTGCTTCTGTTTCTCAGCTATAAAGAGAGATAGGTTGGTTCTCTATGATCTCTGGCTCAACAGAGAGTTGGGTGATAGAACCATCATGATCATCTCTGTTATCAGTTGAGAACTGCCTTGAAACATTTAGAATGTCCTCCCAACCTCTGTCACTCTCTTGGGACTGGGAGGACAACCCCAGTCCCAATGAAAAACTGAGAACATCATCACCTTGTGTCTTCTTTTTGTATGCAGCCCTCTTCCCAATAGCACACTCAATCTTCTCAATAGCTGCAATTGTTTCTGGATCATTCCAGAAAGCAGCTGTTTCTTCACTATCTTCAAAAGAACCTGTCTTCTGAGAAGATTGAGATACATAGGGACTGACAGAAATAAGATTTTCCGTTGCTTGTTGTATCTTCGGTCACTTCATGGGGGGCATCTTCAAGCAAGGTTATAACATCAACCACATCAGTAGCTAAGCACATAACCTTGCTTAGAAGCTGGGATTTATAACCCTGTTTATACATAAAATTAAAAAGAGTGAACAATTATAAGAAAATATGGAGGAAAATTAAACAACTAACCTAGCAACATCAGACAACTAACCTAGCAACAATAAACAACTAACCTAGCAGCAAAAGACGAACTAACCTAGCAACAACAAACAAGAAAGAAATGCTCTCCCTTCTCTCTAAGTTTCTCTTTCTAGATTTTTCCCCTTCCACCACCAACCACCACCACCACACCCTACCACCACCGTCGCAACCCGCCTAGCAAACCCTCACCACCGCCGCCAGCGGCGGCCCCCGAGGCCTTCCTGGTCCCCAGAGATTTTTCGCTTCTCATCTTTTTCATTTCGCAGTTTTTCAAAAAACAGTCCCAGTTATGGACACAAATCACATTCCCTTATAGATTACCTCCTCTACGACCCACCAAGCTCCGGCCAGCCTCTCGCCAGAGCTCTCACAACTTGTCACGAACCCTAAATTTCTCAAATTCATTAAGGATTTTTTTGTCTTAAATTCTCAATTGGCAGATTCTGGAAATCCTCGTTGCCCCACCGACCGGCGCTCAGCTGCCGAAAATAGTCTTGACCATCTTTTTGCGTCCGAGGCTCCAAGTGTTTCCGTTGAACCTGCTGTAACCAAGAGTCCAAACGGGCTCGTTGACCAATCCGATGTGACCAAGATGCCGAACGAGGATCCGAGTGGATATGAAAACCGTCTCGTCCATACTGCTGTGAATAAAAATCCGATCCATTTTGGGAACTTACCGTCGGTAGTGATTAAGTCAGTCATCCCTCTCTCTCTTCTGTTACAGGCGGCGTAGCAACGACAGGGAACCCTTTCCCTCAGCTCACTCTTGAAATGGATCCAAATGGTGAAAAACCCAACCTTAACAGCTCTGGCCCAATCACATCTCCCAGGCCCAAAAGCCCATCTGGGCCAAAACCTCCCAGCCCACTCTCCTCAATTGAGCAAGCCCGCTCATTGCAAACAGATCACAACCCAAACTATATCCAACCCGCCTTAGACAATCAGCCTCTAACATTCAGCCCTTTCTTGGGCCTGCCGCTTCAGGCCCAATCCGCATCCCCTCAGCCCACTAATCATAACAGCCCATCCGTTGCAAAAGCTCAGACTGCGACCAAGAAAATCAGCCTTCCCGTCAATCTCCGAGAAACTGACAGCACCAAACCAGTCGACGCCGACCATACCCCCGCCTCCGCCGACGACATCGACGGCGCCGTCACGGCCACCGGAGAAGCTCGGCTGGCCGGCAGTCAAATGAAAGTTGCTCCGGAATTGAGTCAAACAGCGGGAATTGTTGGACCCCGACCAAAATCACCATCTCCGACCGAAAATATCGCCGGGAAAACCATCCCTGATGCCGGAATCCTTGAAGCGGCAGTTTTGTTTATTCGAGAAGATGGGATGATTGTTACGGGCCAGAGTAAGACGACCGCGAGCCATCCTTTCAGGACACCGCCAACGGGCCTACCAACGGCTAACACCGTTGCAACTGGGTCTTTGCCGGGCACCTCCACTGGCCCGCTCTCCTTCCGAGAGGCGATTACGGGAAGAATGGACCGTGGCACGGGCGTCCCGCGGCCGACAACCAAGGACTTTGCCTTTGACGGGGGATACGAACACGCCTGCGGAACCATCATCCGCTCGGAGGGAAACAAGGTGAAGGCCCGATACACTGAAGCCGAATCTGTTGCTCTCGCAGGTAAGCTAGCTAACACTCTGGTCTTTAAGTTTTCATATGCTATCCCCGCTCCCCGAGATATATCTGCTGGGTTAGGAAAACTGGGCTTTAAGGGTAGAGTGTCGTCGAAGTGGTACAACTTCAACCACCTCCTAGTCTCGTTTCACCTCCCCGAGGACTATAACGAGGTCTGGCTTAAGACCTCCATTCATGTGTGTGGATGCCCAGCTAGGGTGTTCAAATATTATGCCGAGCTTAACCCGAAGACGGAGGCGCCGGTCGTCCCCGTGTGGTGCCGCCTTCCCGGCCTCCCACCCCATCTTTATGACCGTGCTGCCATCACTACACTAGCTAAGTGTATTGGGCAGCCGATTCGTATAGACGCCCCGACGGCCCTTTAGACGAGGGCTAACGTGGCACAATTTTGCGTCGAGATAGACCTGAGAGCTGAGCTTGTTCATGAGATTGAGATTGAACAGGGCTCGGAGTCTCTTGTTCAGCGGGTGATCTATGAGAAGATCCCCGCTTTCTGCACCTCGTGCAACCACGTGGGTCATATTGCGGCCGATTGCTACATCAGTGGCAATAAGCCACGGCCCGCTCTCCCGCAGCACCATCGTGCGACCCAGCAGGGAACCTCCACCAGCCGGAGGGACCCGAAGGGAAAGGGCAAAAGCCCTCTACGCGCGCCCGAGACCCTGAAGGGGTCTAAGGATAAGGGCAAGGCTGTGATTGTCGATACTGCCCAAACTGGGAAGGATGCTCATCCTAACCAGCCTAAGCAGTTGGCCTTAGTGGGTCCCAAGCCCAAGTCCACGGGCTTTCTCCCTAGACAGACCTTACAGACGGCCTTCAAGGCCAACCACTCCTATTTTGCTATTCTCCTCCCTGAGGCAGAGAAGGATGTTGTCCCTTCCTCCAGCAGACCACCTAAGATTACCGATCTTACGCTTCTGTATGACGATGACCTCCTTGGAGACGACATGGACCAGCCGGACGCAACACCCAGGGGAGAGTCCATCCACCTATCCGATGATAGTGTGCGCGATGCCGGTCCTTTGACCGTGCGCGCATCTAGCCCGGTCCGATCTTCGGATTTGAGGGCTACTGCTGCCACCGCTCCCCCGAAAGGGGATGAGTCGGCCCATCTCCCCCTGCTGGGATTGGAAGCTTTGTCGATCTTATAGCCATCTCCCAGACTCTTTCTACCGGCGAGCACCCGAGTGCTCTGCCTGTTGGACCCCCTCTTTCACCCATCCCCGAGCAGATATGCGGGCTTAACCGCGCGCACCATGACGTCTCGTGCGAGAGCTTCGCCTCTAGTGCATTTCTTCACCTTGACAGACAGGAGACAACCCCGGAGATGGGGCAAGCTGCTAGTGCTGCTATAGGTCAGTCTCTCCAGCCAGACGACTCACAGGCCACGAGTACATACCGAGGCAGACAGACCTCGAGGACCAGAGCCACGCAGCACACGAGACGGCGGACAATCTCCTCTGCTATTGGACCCTTCCGCCGCATGACACGACGGACGATCTCCCCTTCTTTAGGTGACCCAAATCAGCCTCGCCATAGGCGGACTACGTCCGGTGGCTCTTGCGACCGTTGATATGTCCATCACATCCATTACTTGGAATGGCCGTGGCCTGGCGAACAGGGCTACTCTCTCTCTCATCTCCATTCTCTCATTCGTGACCACAGAGTCGATTTTGTTGGCTTTATTGAGCCGATGATTCGCACTCCTTCTTTTGACCACTACTCGCGTCGCCTGGGCTTCCACTCGGGCGTGGGTAATATTTCGCACAAGATCTGGTTTTTCCACTCGCGTGACTACACTTGTCGGGTCCTCTGCGACACCGATCAGGTGCTTCACGTAGAGATTTTCGCTGGCCACCTCCCGGAGCCCATCTTTCATACCTTGGTTTATGCAAAGTGTACTAGGGTCGGGCGATATGACCTTTGGGACGACCTGCGTGAGATTGCCGAGAGTATGGAGGGATTGCCATGGTTGGTTAGTGGCGATTTCAACATCTTTCTGCATCCCGATGAGCGTGTGGGTGGCCGCACGGACCGGTCACGGGAGATGTGGGATTTTGCTCAGGCGGTGGCGGACTGCGAGTTAATTGACGCTGGATGTGATGGTGAGCCCTTCACGTGGGTGGGGGACGGAGTCAAAGAGAGGTTAGACCGTGCCTTAGTTTCTGAGGCATGGTCGAAGGTGTTTTCGGTTACGACCGTCACACACCTTACTCAATTCGGGTCCGACCATTCACCCCTTCTCATCCGGTGCCGATTTTCGAGCACCCGCCGCCGCTCTTCGTTTAGGTTCCAAAACATGTGGGTTCGCCACCACTCCTTCCACGACACTGTCAGGGATTCTTGGCTTCAGCCGACTGGGCTCTTCGGGATGCGCAATCTCGAGGCGAAGCTCGGCAGACTGCAGCGTCGGTTGAGACAGTGGAACTGGGATGTTTTTGGAAACCTTCATCAGCGCCTTGCTGCGGCTCAGAGTGCGCATGCGACGGCTGAGCGGGCCTATGACCTGGATCCCACTCCGGAGAATAGGACTGTCATGCACCGCTGCCACGCCGAGTACCAGCTCCGACTCCTTATGGAGGAGGACTTCTGGAAGCAGAAGGCGACCGTTCGCTTGGTGGCCGAGGGCGAGCGGAACACTAGGTTCTTCCAGGGCTACGTTAGGCAGAAGCGTGCTAAGTCGTACATCCATAGTATCGAGGCTGATGGGTCATCCTTGACCCAGGAGGCTCAGATTCGGGAGTCGGTTGTTGCTCACTTCTAGACCCTCTTCACCTTTGACAGAGGATCCCTCGTGGCCCCGACCGCTTCTTTTTTCCCCACCATCCCTCCTTCGGTCGATCTCATTAGCCTCTGTGAGCTCCCGAGTGGGGAGGAGGTTAGGGACGCTGTATTCGGGATTGATCCCAACAGCGTTTCTGGTCCGGATGGTTTCTCCTCCCTCTTCTATCAGGTCTGCTGGGATCTTGTCGAGACTGACGTCGAGGAGGCGATGTTGGATTTTTTCTCTGGCCACCGGATGCCGGATTCCTACACGTCTACCTCTGTCGTCTTGATCCCCAAATGACCCAACCCGAGCTCTTAGTCCGATTACAGGCCCATCAGCCTATGTAACGTGACCAACAAGCTCATTTCGAATATTCTTAACGGTCGTCTTTTCCCTCTTCTCCCCTCCCTCATCTCTCCGAACCAGAGTGGATTCGTCAAGGATCGGGTCATTAGTGATAACATCCTTCTGGCCCAGGAGATGATCCACGACATCTCCCGAGCGGACTGGAAGCGGGCTCCGAATATCGCGCTGAAGCTAGACATGGCTAAGGCGTATGATAGGGTTGAGTGGCTGTTTCTTAGGGAGGCGTTGGCTAGGATGGGATTCCCTGAGCGTTGGATCAGCTTTGTGGAGGCGTGTGTGGAGCATTGCACGTTCTCGGTATTGGTTAATGGCAGCTCCACCGACTTCTTTCCCTCCTCTAGAGGCCTTAGACAGGGCGACCCCCTTTCCCCTTCCTTCTTCGTTCTTGCGGCGGACTACCTCTCTCGCTGCCTTGACGGCTTCATCCGCGACTCTCCTCATATGACCTATAGCACCCGTGGTTATGATCCTACCATCTCTCACCTCTCTTATGCGGATGACATCATTATCTTCACCCGGGCGGATGATGATGGATTGGTCGAGCTTATGCGCCTTTTGGAGCACTATGGCTTGGTCACCGGTCAGCTGGTCAGTGTGCAGAAGAGCACCTTCATCCTTTCATCTGCCACCGTGGACAGGTGGGCTCAGCGGGTCCACGACATTACTGGCTTTGCGCGTGGCGACCTTCACATTACCTACCTCGGGGTCCCTTTATATAAGGGCAACCTCACGAGAGCGTTCTTTGCGGGCGTCAAACAGAGGATGATCGACAGGATCTATGGTTGGTCGCATAGATACCTTTCTTTCGGTGGTCGGCTAGTGTTGATCAAGAGCACTCTTAGCTCTCTTCCGATTCACTTGCTTATGGTCCTCGACCCCCCTAGGTCTACTCTTGACGAGCTTGACCAGATTATGGCTCGTTATTTCTGGGGTTATGAGGACGGGTCTGGGAGGGGGAGACGTACTCACTGGGTGAGTTGGGACTCTATCTGCCGCCCCCTCCCCGAGGGTGGCCTTGGCATCCGCCGCCTCAGGGACATTGTTACAGCTTTCTCATACAAGCTGTGGTGGCGCTTCAGGGAAGGAAAGTCGCTTTGGGCTCAGTACCTTC